GTGGTAGTGATATCAGGGCAAGGTGTGTAAAAATAGGGAAAGAAAAAATATAAAGCTCAAAAAGTCACACAATAGCCAGGTCTCCATGATATTGCGTCATTGTTTCCAGAACATGAGGCTCCGTTCATACAATGCTGTACCTATGCTATGCAATGATATAACTGGTGCGGTACGTTCGAAAACGGCTTTATTTCTTCTCCGTGCAAATTTGTGAGAGAACTTCTCGCTGTTCAGTCTGTTTACAGATTACAGACGAGGCATTTTTTGGAGTTTTCATTCCAGCATAACATTTACGTGATAACCCCTGTTATTTTGCGCTCAGTTTCTATTTCGCATCCACCCTCAACCGTGACATTATTGAATTCAGACTGCCCTGTCCAGCCGTCAATAGACCACAACAGATGTGAGCGAAATCGCCGTCCGTCGAACGTATGAAGCGATATGCAATGCCACACCTGTAAGCCCTGGTGGCATTTCAAATGTACATGTTTACAGGACGACCGGTAGGCCAAGTAGCTAACTCTCTTGACCGGTTTGTCTGTGTCAGCTGCCTCTACATTAGGGTGCAAAGCACATCACAGCTAAGAAAAGAGCCAACAGAAACGAAGCCAAATCATAATTGCTGATTCAGAAGTAATGGTGTGATTGTTCGGCTTTGATCGGTATAATCGACGCAAAACTGGAGCTTCTTTCTAAAATCCTGAGGATGCAAACACAAATGACGCAACGACCTGTACAATAGTTGATAGAGAACTTTATCGCAGAATGAGCACCATTCTTGGTCTGCTGGCTGCGATGAAAATAATCTAGCCTTTTGACGCGAAAATAAAGACCACCACGGCGTCTTTAGTTGACAGGCGCTTAAGAAAGAGCAGAACGATAGTCTCGGGGTAATTCTCCGGAAAGATCACGCCATCGAAGCTGGTACATTCGCTCCTTGACATTGTCTTGACTAAGCCTGACTGTCAATAGCTTCATGAAGAATGGTCACGTCAGAAGAAAAACAAGCAAACACTTGAGGTTCTAGTCACTTTCTCTCCCCCATCTGCCGTACCGAATATATTGGAGCAGGTTGTTGGTGTTCAAAAGGTCACCTCAGCGATCATGCGTCTACTCGTAGATGCCCCACTAGAGGCGCAAAAGCTGAATCACAGCAGTTCTGCGTTAAGGGTTCGCAACAAGCTTCCGCCTGAAGCCAGTTCAGCCAACCCCAAACTCATGACCAAACCGATTGTAGTCATAGCTCCTTAATCTCCCGAAATCATGTCGGCGCAACCAGCTTCGTCTCCGGACGGGAGTTTCTAATTAACCCACACAGACCCCTTGTCTACCAAAGGCAGTGGTGCTTTGAAGGAGGCAAGCCTTATGTGGAAGCAGCGCACAAAGTACACAGGGCTATCAGTGCTTCTTGCTGTAACAGACGATAAAGTTGCAGCAGTGAACTCCTCGCTAAAGTCACGGCTTCTGAGCTGGACCGAGTCAGATGTGCGGGGACAAACTGCGTAACCTACCGGCAAATCAACCACATGCATGACATTAAGGAATGCTGCGTCAACCATACGACCACCGAGAATGTGAAACTGCCATTCCGTCAAAAGTGGCGTCTTTGCGTGTGGGTAGAGTTGTCACCCAGGACCCCGACAGCCAAAGCCACCAACAGCGATTCGGATAATCCCTCGCACATCCAATGAGCGACGCTGATCACCTGGGGATCAGGTGTTCACACAAACACGAAAGATGGGCGACTTCAACCAAACGAACCAGATAAGATTCGCCAAATCAGAAAACTGCTGGCTGGCTTCAAGGTGCACTCTTCGAAAACGAGCCTCATGGGAGTGCCGCCACCCAGCGCTCGGGACCTCACAGGGACAACTTTCCAATCAAACCACGCAGAAACGCCCAAGAAACCAGAAAGACGTAATTTTGTTCCAAATCTTTGACCAACAGCAAATCTGGTCGTCCAAAAGACAATGTTAAAAGAGCTACAAGTAACGATGTTTGAAATTTTCTCCCACGGAGGAAAACACTCAGCCTCAAAAGCCAAAAGGCCCGAGCAAACCGGGCTCCCACGGGGCGAAAAAAACTCAGCGAATAAAAAGCAGCCCCAAAACCACTACGACAGGAATGGACAAATATACCCCAGGAGCATTTGACCCAAACCGAGGTGCGTCTATTAAGTCTGCTAACCTCCTTGGTCTCATAACTCTCGGCTCCTCACCCTCGGAGGCAGCAGAGACAGTGTTGGAATGTTTGTCTACATACTGCGACAAGATTTTGCAATATTAAACAGTCAGCCTGCCTTGAACAACCGTACACAATCGCACTCACCGAGACCTGGTTCACACCAGGTGTCTCTGACGCGGAGATCTCGATGGATGGATACTCTGTTTTCCGAGCCGACGAGGGGGGGTTGGTTGGGTTGCTTTGTATTTACATGCTGATTGTCTCTCTGATTCCACTCCTGCACCTTTTAGCCGTGCGTTGTGCATTCAAAGCCAGCTGCGCGGGTCCGATCCTCTCCTTTTCAGTGTAGTCTACCGTAACCCCTCGAGTCCAACTGAAGATGACCAGAACCGTTGAGCAGCTCTCTCCAAGTTACCATTTCACCCATCTCTTGTTGGTAGGTGATTCAACGCTCCAAAGGCCCCCTGGGTGGAGCTCCAGCGCGACGGTTCAAGCGAACTGTTTACAGTTGCTCTGATTAGTCGTTCAACAGAACGCTTGCACCCACCAGACACCGAGCAGGCCAAGTACCACCCCTCCTGGATATGGTCATCACCAACGACAGATACTGCGTACATCAAGTAATAATTAACTCTGCAGTTGGACATGGCGACCACTGTGTGCTGACCTTTGATTCATCTGGTACCGGACCAGAGACTTCGAACTGTAAACGTGAATTCGAAACTTCTGCCATGACTCAAGATTGACCCAAAAGTGATATCTGAGGTTTATAGGGAACATTGTGTAGGTTTATAATAAGCCCCAGCGTCCTCCTCACACACAGTTCCGTCAAGGCGTAACTACGGATAGCCTCTAACCGACTTAATCTTCACGGAGGAAGACATTCAACAACTCTTGCACGAGGTTTACCCGTTCTGCTCATCGGGGCTCGACGAGGTCAATCCAAGGATCCTGAAGAAAACGTCGTCTACACAAATAATTTACACCGGGAGTCTCATCAGTCGCTTGACGAAGGCCGCATTCCCTCTGCTAGGAAAGAAGCGTTTATCACGTCAGTCTACAAAACCAGTGACCAGGCCTATAGACCTCACCAGCAGGCTGTGCAAGGTGATGGAACGCATTCTGAAGTAAGCTATCCTACATCACCTTACACCCAACAACTTGATACACTAGCTCAACACGGATTTCTCCCAAAGCGTTCTTGTGTGACAAACATGCTCGTGTTTATGGACAGTTTAAACTTAGTCAAGAACAAAAGACTCATATCAGGTGCCATATTATTCGACTCCCCAAAGTCATTTGATAGGGTCCCACACGCCCCACTGCTCCATAAACTCGAGTCTCAAAGGATTCAAGGGAAAATCCTACATTGGATCGGGGCGTTCCTACCAGGTAGACCATTGCGAGTGAGAGTAGGTTCTACCTATTCTTCTGCAGTGCCGGTCTTCATTGGAATTCCTCAAGTCCCCGTTTTGGGGCCAATGCTGTTTCTGATGTACGTCAACGACCTTCTAGATGTTCCTGCATGTCCGTGTGCACCTTTTGCAGAAGACGAGAAATCCTGGAGTTTCAATACCTGTGCCCCCAAATGGATGTTAACGCAGTGGTTGTTGGACTGGCACCTTACGATGAAAAGTGTATCCATATGTCATCTAAATGGGAAGTAGCGAATGTCTGTTCCATGCACAGTGGGAGTAGACCAGAAAACATCACAAGGATAGAAGCCAAAAGGGGTTTGGGTATATGGCTGTCTTCAAACATGTTCTGTTCATTACGCTAGGAGAAATCGGCCAAAAAGATTCGCTATTTTGCGGATTATTCCGCGCACCTTCTCGCGTATTAACCTCATGGACTTCTAAATAGTCTATGGGGCCTGCGTCAGACCACTCCTTGAATACGCCAACCACGTTTTCTACTGCGGAAGCACGAAAGACGTCACCCTCATTGTCCAGCGAAGCGCTAGGAGAAGGGTTGCATGCCTCAAATCCGTGGACTACAAAAGGGGCTCGCGGTGCTTGACCTCTTTCCCGTGGAGTATCGTCACTTCCGAGGAGGATCGAAGCTTGGCCAACAGGTTTTTCGCCACTGACCCAGCAAACACACGGTGGGGGCATGGTAAGAAAACTTTCAAGCTCAGAATATACATATTATTTAGACGAAACAGCTGCACATACAATTGCCGGGCATCTTTCTTGGACCAGTGTTCATCACCATCTGGCCGAACGGTACGCTTCTCGCACACTTCAAAGAATATGGTGCAGTCCCGGTGAATAATAATAATGTTTATTTCCCAACTTGTGGGTGGCACAACTTCGGGCATGGTCATGCGTTTACAGTCAGAATGGCGTATGTGACTGGGGGATATGCGGCTAGTAGGGATTCCACGGAATAGGGACAAGGTTGTGAACAGTGAGGAGTATTTGATGAAATAATGATAACAGGTTTCTTTCGCAACTTGTAGGGAACAATGGCATGAGGCCCGACTAATTCAAAGACTCAGTCGGTTGACATGAACTAAAACTGGAAAACCACTGCTGGCCACGAGTGACCTTGGGCGGTTGGGTAAATGGCCAGAGTCACAACGAGATAAAGTGGAGGTGGAGATGCGATAATTCGAATTGGGAGAACGTGGCAAGTTTAGTCTCAAAAATATGGTGCAATCTGAGAACAAGCAGACTCACTGGTTGCACTGTAGTAGAAAAGTTAGATGCTGGGGTTAGGTTGGATGAGCACACAAAGGTGGTTGGATTCGAACGAGAAGTCCAACAGGTTGGAATGAATGTCATGGTGGTTGTTGGGGTCAGTGAATCGCGCAGACAAGTGGGCTCGTTTGGGAGGAGGAATGGAACAATTGCGGATGCGCTGTCAAACTGAGTATGGCAGTGCCGTGCAATCATCGGCCTGACATGCTTCAGTTTTTGGACAGAACCGTGATGGACGCCGCATTTGAGATCATTCGGCTGGGGTGTGTAGTTCATTGGGCAGGGGTATTCATTTCAGCCTGGTCAGGGGGACGAGGTGGAACGAGGCCAATATAGGATTGTAGGGTTTTTTGTGGTACGCTTGGCGATCCCGGGTTCATCATCATCAACGACAGCATGACATC